TCGTCGTCACTCCGACGCCACACCTCCACACCGTCATCGACGTCACCTCCAGCTTGGGTATCCCCATCGGTCGGCCAGCTATCATCTGCCAGCGCGCCTCCGAAATTGAGCGGTCGGTTCGTCTGCGACTGCTCAGTCGCCATCCATTCGCGAATCACCTCTATGATTCGCGCAACGCCCTTTTGCGAGCATTGCTTGAAGGTGTTCGTCAGCAATTGAGCTGCAGCCATCGTAGCAGTCTCATTGATACGGCAACGTGCAGGGGAGCTACGAACTAGGTGATAAGAAACGAGGAATGATTGCATTGAACAAGGTGAGGAGTACAAGTAGGAAACCCTTAAGTGTTGTACCCCATATGAAATACCCCACTACAACCTACACGGACTATAGCATATAAGCCTGACACACCCCCATAGGCAAAGTGGGGGAGAAAAAGGGGTCACAAGACCAGTCAAGCAAAGTACAGCAAGCTCAGGGTGGATCACAACGTCACCACACAGTCCGAGCACAAGAGCAAGGCCACAAGGCCAGTTCACATGCAAGATTATATATATAAAGGTAAACAAGCAAGTGTAGGTATAAAAAGATCACAGTACAAGCAAGGTCAAGAAGTGAGCAAGTGAGGCCAAGTAGGCACAAGACCTAGCATAGTACAGAAGCGCTGATGATCACAAGGCGGAAGTGCCTTGGTAAAGATATCAGCAGTGTTGGCCTCAGAGGCCAAGTAGGTAAGACGTAGCTGACCATGCTGCTGCAGCTCATGAGCCAGGAAGTAGCGAAGAGCAATGTGCTTCGTTCTGTGCTCCAGTCTGTGCTCCCGACATAAGGCCAGCATGGCCTTGTTGTCTACGTACAGAACTGGAGGAGAACGAGGCGGCTCTCCTAGGTCAGTCAGCAGGTAGGTGAGCCAGCGTAGCTCCTGTGCAGCCATGGCCCCCGCGTAGATCTCAGCCTCACAGCTGGAGGTGAGAACAGAAGACGAGCGGGTTGACCGTCACGAAACAGAGCCGGAGCCAAGGCTGAAGGTGTAACCCTGTGACGACCGCTGTGTAGGCTGGTAGTCAGCTCAAGAAGCGTCTATGTGACCTGTGAGGACCACTCGACGTCGCCCTCCAAGCACTAGCCCCATGCCCGACGTACTGCACAAGTAGCGCAACACCCTCTTCGCTGCAGCCATGTGCTCTGGTCGGTGTCTCCTAGGAGCAACATAGCGTGCCAAGATGCTAAGAGGGTATGCAAGGTCAGGTCGTGTGCAGATCATCAGGTACATGAGGCAGCCAACAAGCTCTGGGTACGGGCCACTCCGCTCTACGGACTCATCCGAAGGCAGAGCTGAGAGGAAGTGGCGAGTAGACAGAGGAGTGGCCTGAGGCGAGGAGTACGTGAAGCCGAAGCGCTGAAGGACCTGCTACACCATGTGTGACTGAGTCAGGGTAATGGTGCGCTGTGCTCTGTCCCGGGTGATCTGCAAGCCAAGGTAGCTGCGCAGTTCACCCAGGTCTGTGCACGTGTGTCTCTTCTGTAGCTCGGACTTCACATGGGCGAGTCCAGCAGTGTCAGTAGTGGCAAAGACCAAGTTGTCGACGTACACGAGGATGTAGAACAGCGGCAAAGAGGTGTCGGTGCGCATAAACAGCGACGGGTCGGCAGTAGAAGAAGAAAACCCAAGAGCCGCAAGTGTAGTCCTCAGTGTGTCGTGCCACTCACGTGGCGCCTGGCGGAGACCGTAGACTGGCCGCCAGAGGCTCCACTGGGTACCAAGAGGAAACGACCCAGTGAAGCCAGGTGGGTGGCGCAGCCAGATCTCCTCGTGCAGGCTGCCCTGCAAGAAAGCTGTGCTGAAGTCAAGAGAGTGAAGCTCGTAGTCGCGCTGAGCGGCTATGTGGAGCAGTACCCGAAGAGTGGTCATCTTCGGGGTGGAAGAGAAAGTTCTGAAAGTAGTCAACTCCCTGCCGCTGACTGAAGCCTCGAGCCACGTAACGCGCCTTGAAGATAGGCAGAGAACCCGGCGGCCGCTTCACCCTGAAAACCCACATGCCACTGACGATGTTCGCCCCAGGTGGGGGAACCTCGTCGACGTAGGTGCCTGTGGACTTCCAGGAAGCCATCTCTGCGTTTATGGCTGACTGCCACTGTGAGGGGTAGGGACCCTCGATCACCTCAGCGTACGATCGAGGAGTCGGGATGTCTGGTGCATCCGGGTCTCCCTCAGGGGCAATCAGCATGGACACTTGATGAGGCAAAGCAGCAGCAAAACACTGGAACTCCTCCTGCCTGTCCTCAAGGACGTCCGTGCTAAGGGGACACTCACCCTCGACGGACGGAGGACAGACATACTCAAACTCAGCAACAAGACTAGTAGCGTAGTCTAGACGACAGCGAGCAGCAAAGTCGACAAGCTCAGTAACGAGGGCAGACGCAGCAGTGGACTCAAAGGAAGGGTCAGTGACAGCAGTAGCCAGGAGACGCGTGACAGTAGGACTGGCAGCACGAAGAGAGTCAGACTCCAGGTCAGCAAGAACAGGAATTGAGGACTCTGGAGGAGACGGCAACGGGACGCGCAGAGGAGCAGTGGAAGGACGCAGTGCCATCTGGTGTGTGCCTGGGACCGCAGGAGGACGTGGACGCGGAGCACGACGACTGGTGCAAGTGGCACGAACAGGCGACGCAGGACGAGACGCAGGCTCACGACGCTCAGCAAGACCTCCAGTAGGACCAGTGTAGGGAGAAGGAGCAGGCAGGGGGGAGGCAGGCTGTAACTGTGACTGCGACTGGACAGGCTGTGGACACTCTAAGGGAGGAGCAGCACCAGTAGAGGGTGGGAGACCAAGAACCTGCTCAAGAAGGGGAACGAAGTACGGCCTCGGCCACGCAGCGCCTCCAGAACCAGGAGGGACAGCACCAGTATCCCCAGCGGGGGTACCAGGACCAGCAGCACCTCCAGCTACAACAGCGCCAACTCCAGCACCTTCAAAAGCACCAGCGCCAGTAGCACCACCAGCGCCAACACCCCCAGCAGCTCCAACTCTAGCTCTAGCAGCACCAACTCCAGCAGGACCGTCAGCTCCAGGACTGCCAGCAGCACCAGCTGTACAACCAGCAGAACTAACTCCAGCAGCCCCAGCAGCACCCCCAGTCCCAGCAGCTCCAGTACCACCAGGACCAGCGGCAACAGTAGAACCTCCAGCTCCAGCAGCACGGCTCCAGCGGCGGGCAAACCACTCGCGTAGCTCTTGCGGAGAGAGTGGCTCCCGTCTCGACGAAGCACCGTGAAAGGCCACACGAGCAGACCCAGCACCCCCAGGCTCTGCACCCCCAGGCTCAGCACCTCCCGACTCAGTACCCCCAGGCTCAGCACCCCCTGGCTCAGCACCTCCGGACTCAGCACCCCCACACTCAGCACCCCCAGGCTCAGCACCCCAAGACTCAGCACCCCCAGGCTCAGCACCCCCAGGCTCAGTACCTCCAGACCTGGCACCCGCAGGCTCAGCACCTCTAGCAGCACCAGAGTCAACAGCTACCTTGACAGTCTCGACTGCGTCTACCTGGGACACACCTGACGGGGTAGGACCCTGAGGGGGGAGGGGGTCTACCGGGGGAGGACCTAGCGCAAGGAAGAGCGGCGGCGGGAGAAGGGGAGCAGCGCGGTAGGGGAAGAGACGATAGTAAGGCACCGACTCGTCAAAGGTGACGTCCTGGGAGGACAGAACACGGCGCGAGATGGGGTGGTAAAACTGCCAACCAGGCGCGTCAGGGGGGAAGCCAAGGAAGACGCAGGGAACAGCACGGGGGGACAGCTTGTCCGCAGACAAGTCGCGGACAAACGCCCGAGATCCCCAGACCCGAAACGCAGACGCATCGCCAACCTTCCCCGTCCACCGCAGGGTGGGGGAGGTCTCTGGCAAGGAGACCCGGGGCTGAAGGTTGAGCTGATGCGCCGCGTATTGAACCGCAAATGGCCACAGAAAATGGGGGGCAGCCACATGGATCATGGACGTACGAGCGACGTCCATGACCATGCCAATGCGGCACTCAGCAATCCCATTTTGCTGTGGAGAGGCCGGAAGCGTGAAGGTCTGGCGGATGCCCTGTGCTCGGCAGAAGGCTCCAAGACGGGCAGAGGAAAACTCCCCGCCTCAATCAGAGTGCAGACGCAGAACAGGAAAGTCCGAGCCGAAACTCTCTCTGAGCTGGAGACAAGCTGCGCGGATCCAGTCGATCAACACCTCAGTGACGTCGCCCTTGCTCCGCAAGGGGAAGACCGAGGTGTAACGCGAATAGTCGTCAACCACCAACAGGAAGTAACGCTCGTGCCCCTGGCCACGGACGCGGGCGGGGCCCCACACGTCCATGTGAAGAGTCGGCAACGGAGCTTTTGTCGGAGGAAACTCGGAGGAGTGAGGGGTGGCGCGCTGTCGCCCCTCGACGCAGGGGACGCAGGTAGGGGCAGGCCCCGGAGGTAGGGGAGGGAGAGACCGAGGGAGACCAGAGACAAGGACATGGGAGGCCATGCCTCGGAGACGAGGCAGGGAGGGGTGACCAGGGCGGTGGTGCCAAAGGAGAGTCTGGTGAGACAGGAGACGACACGAGCAGGGAGCAGACTCAGGACTAGACCTGGATGCTGCAGCAAACACCTGACTCGACGCAGCTACCTGGCCAGACTCAGCAGCCGGAGGAGACTCAGTAGTGAGGGTGTACAGGCTCGACCCTGAGCCGACGTAGTACCTGAGAGAGCAGACTCACCAGCACCTGGGGCAGCGGACGCACTAGCACCTAGAGCAGCAACCTCACCACTACCTTGAGCAGCAGTCTCAATGCCCGGGTCAGGCGGAACACACAGGTAACAGTCACCCTCAACACTCTCAGACACAGCATACATGGCAGCAAGAATAGCATCAAAATCAAGATCTCAGAGGCCTAGATAGCAACCCCCGCCCTAGACAGCTCTCCCAAGCGAGGGATCTCAGAGGCCTCAGGCAACTGGTGACGCCACGCGTCCGTCAGGCGGCCGAAGCAGCGCTGGGTGGAGTGCGGGCCCCCGCACTGCTCACCAGCGCGGTCACCGGTACAGAGAACGTAGGTGCAGGGACCAGTACCCCCACCGCGCTAACGCGCAGCGTACCACTCACGAAGCTGCTGAGGGGACAGGGTCTCACGACTGCGCTGCTGCTCCTGGCGCGGACCACCACCGGACCCACTCCTCTGTGCGGAGCCGCGACCAGGTCCACTGCTGCCACCGCCGCCTCCGCCAACTCCGCCGCCTCCGCCGCCTCCACCACCTCCGCCGCCTCCGCTCCCTCCGCCACCGCCGCCGCATCCTCCGCCTCCATTGCTGCCACCGACACCTCCACCAGCGCTACCACTCCCACCACCACCCCCACCCCCACCCCCACCCCCTCCACTGCCTCCACCACCACCTCCACCGCCCCTGCCAGCCCCTCCAGCGCCCTTGCCCCCCTTGCCCTTGCCGGTGCGGCGTCTCCCGCTCGGGGCAGACGCAGCGCCGACCGACTCGAAACCAACGAGGTCGGCCGCAGCAGTAGAAGCAACAGAGGGCAAGAGGGGGGAGGGGGAACACCCCTCAAAGACGGGGGTGCGAGGGTCACCACGAGAGGCTCCTAGAGCGACTATGCTCTTCTCTGCTGCTAGGAGGCGCTCCTTGAGGAGGTCGACAGTGAGAGTTGTCAGGCATATGTCCTATAGTCTGTGTAAGCTGTAGTGGGGCAGTTCATATGGGGTACAACACTTGAGGGTTTACTACTTGTACTCCTCATTCTGCTCAATGCATTCATTCCTCGTTTCTTATCATGGTATCGAGCAGGTTCCCTAGTGGGAACGATTCCTAGGGCCAACCATGATATATTTTTTTTCCTGCCCGGAGCGCGCTTCGCGCTCTGTGTGCCCTCCCTACCGTCGCGCCCTCTCACGGCCCCTTCGCGTCGCCTTTAGCGGCCCCTCTCACGGCCCCTTAAGCCGCCCTTACGGCCCCTCGCGCCGCCCTCTACGGCCCCTTGCGCCGCCCTTACGGCCCCTTACGGCCCCCCCGCGATGCCCGTTGGCTCCCCTCGCGGCGCCCTTACGGCCCCTTACGGCCTCGTCGCCACCCCGTCTAGGCCCCTTACGGCCCCGTCGCCGCCCCGTCTAGGCCCCTTACGGCCCCGTCGCCGCCCCGTCTGGGCCCCTTACGGCCCCATCGCCGCCCCGTCTAGGCCTCTTGCGGCCCCCTCTGCGGCCCCGTCTAGGCCCCGTGCGGCCCTTCTGCGGCCCCGTCTAGGCCCCTTGCGGCCCCTCTGCGGCCCCGTCTAGGCCCCGTGCGGCCCCTCTACGGCCCCGTCTAGGCCCCTTGCGGCCCCTCTGCGGCCCCGTTGCGGCCCCTTGCGGCCCCTCTGCGGCCCCGTTGCCGCCACCTGCGGCCCCGTTGCAGTCACCTGCAGCCACCCCGCCGCCACCTGCGGCCCCGTCGCCGCCACCTGCGGCCACGCAGCCACCACCAACGGCCCCGTTGCCGTCACCTACGGCCCCGTCGCCCTCCCCTAGCGGCCACATCGCCGCCTCCACCGGCCCTGTCACCGCTCAGCCGCCCAGCGACCGAGCCGCTGAGTAGCCCAGCAGCCGGGCCGCCCAGCAGCCGCTCCGCCCAGCAGCCGAGCCGCCCACTTGCCGAGCAGCCGAGCCGCCCTACAGCCGAGCCGCCCAGCAGCCAAGCCGCCCACCTGCCGAGCAGCTGAGCCACCCAGCAGTCGAGCCGCTCAGCAGTTGAGCCGCCGAGCAGCCGAGCCGCCCACCAGCCGAGCCACCGAGCCGCCCAGCAGCCGAGCCGCCCAGCAGGTGAGCCGCCCAGTCGCCGAGCCGCCCTACTGTCGACCCCCTGCTATTCCTACTGGTGAGCACACTCCCTACTAGGCCATTGTAGTTATAGCTACCCCCAGTGTCCTTAATTTTGATGCTGAGGGCCGTGCCATTGACTTCGAGGTCTGGGTCGATGACCTCCAGCTGTTCCTCCAGTGCGATAGGGCAGACGGCCTCTCTCTGTTCGACCTCACCTCTGGTGCCTCCCCTGCCCCGCCTGCTACTGCTGACAGCACTGTTCGCTCACAGTGGGCGACACGCGATGCTGCTGCTCGTCTTGCTGTGCGTCTCCACTTACCGATCACTGAGCGTGCACACTTTAGCCAGTACAAGAGTGCTCAGACCTTGAACGACGCTGTAGTTGCACGCTACTCTTCCCCTGCCACTGCTGCACTGAGCCGCCTCATGCTACCGTACCTCTTCCCTGACCTTGCTGCCTTTCCCACAGTCGCAAACCTCATTACGCACCTCCGCACTAGTGACACTCGCTACCGCGCTGCGCTTCTTGCTGAGTTCTGCGCCAAGAACCCCCCCCCCATGTACATCACCCTCTATTACATAGTCACCCGGCTCCCTGACTCTCTCCGCGTAGTCAGGGACCACTTCCTCTCAGTTTGCCCCACCACTCTCACCGTTGACCTCCTCGAGAAGGGCCTCCTAGCAGCAGAGAAGAGCATAGTCGCTGTAGGAGCCTCTCGTGGTGACCCTCGCACCCCCGTCTTTGAGGGGTGTTCCCCCTCCCCCCTCTTGCCCTCTGTTGCTTCTGCTGCTGCAGCCGACCTCGTTGGTTTCGAGTCGGTCGGCGCTGCGTCTGTCCCTAGCGGGAGACGCCGCACCGGCAAGGGCAAGGAGGGCAAGGGCGCTGGAGGGGCAGGCGGGGGCGGTGGAGGTGGTGGTGGAGGCAGTGGAGGGTGTGGGGGTGGTGGTGGGAGTGGTGGCGGGGGTGGAGGCGTCGGTGGCAGCAGTGGAGGCGGAGGAGGCGGCGGTGGTGGCGGAGGGAGCGGAGGCGGCGGAGGTGGCGGAGGAGGCGGAGGTGGAGGAGGCGTCGGAGGCGGCGGCGGCGGCGGTGGTGGAGCGGGTCGCGACTCTGCGCAGAGGAGTGGGTCAGGTCGTGGTCCGCGCCAACAGCAGCGGAGTGGTGTGACTCTGTCCCCTCAGCAGCTTCGTGAGTGGTACGCTGCGCGTCAGCGCGGTGGGGGTACTGGTCCCTGCACTTACGTCCTCCGTACCGGCGACCGAGCTGGTGAGCAGTGCTGGGGCCCACACTCCACCTAGCGCTACTTCGGTCGCATGACGGACGCGTGGCGTCGCCACTTCCCTGAGGCGTCAGAGATCCCTCGCTGGGGAGATCTGTCTAGGCCGGGGGTTGACATCTTTGATCTTGACTATGATGCTATCCTTGCTGCCATGAATTCTGTTACTACTAGTGTTGAGGGTGACTGTTACCTGTCTGTACCGCCTGACCCGGGCATTGAGGCCACTGCTCTAGGTGCTGGTGAGGCTGCTGCTCTAGGTGCTAGTGCCTCTGCTGCCCCAGGTACTGGTGCGTCTGCTGCCCCAGGTGCTGGTGAGTCTGCTCTCTCAGGTAGTACGTCGGCTCAGGCCTTACACACCTTCACCCTTGACTCGGGTGCATCCCGCTCCTTCTTTCGAGACCGCACCACTCTTACGCCGCTCAGTCGGCCGGTTGCAGTCTCCCTGGCGGACCCCTCTGGGGGTCCTGTCCTTGCTAGCTTCTCCACTGTCTTACCGTGCCCGGCAGCCCCCTCTGGCACCCTGTGAGGTCTCTACCTCCCCTCGTTCTCTACAAACTTGGTGAGTGGAGCGGACCTTCAGGATAGGGGGGTTGACCAGTTCACTCCTGCGAGTCAGCGGGTGACCCACTACACGTGTGCTCGGACAGGCCGACACTTGGCCACGTTCACCCGTCGGCCAGGGTCGAGCCTGTACACCCTTACTACTGAGTCTCCTCCGGCTGCTGAGTCTGGCCAGGTAGCTGCGTCGAGTCAGGTGTTTACTGCAGCGTCCAGGTCTGGTCCTGAGTCTGCTCCCTGCTCGTGTCGTCTCCTGTCCCACCAGACTATCCTCTGGCACCACCGCCTTGGTCACCCCTCCGCGCCTCGTCTCCGAGGCATGGCCTCCCGTGTCCTTGTCTCTGGTCTCCCCCGGTCTCTCCCTCCCCTACCTCCGAGGCCTGCCCCTACGTGCGTCCCCTGCGTCGAGGGGCGACAGCGCGCCGCCCCTCACTCCTCCAAGTTTCCTCCGACAGAGGCTCCACTACTGACCCTCCACATGGACGTGTGGGGCCCCGCCCGCGTCCGTGGCCAGGGGCACGAGCGGTACTTCCTGCTGGTGGTTGACGACTACTCGCGTTACACCACAGTCTTTCCCTTGCGCAGCAAGGGTGACGTCACTGAGGTGTTGATCGACTGTATCCGCGCAGCTCGTCTCCACCTCAGGGAGAGATTCGGCTCAGACTTTCCTGTTTTGCGTCTGCACTCTGATAGAGGCGGGGAGTTTTCCTCTGCCCGTCTGGGAGCCTTCTGTCGTGCACAGGGCATCCGCCAGACCTTCACGCTTCCAGCCTCTCCACAGCAAAATGGGATTGCTGAGCGCCGCATTGGCATGGTCATGGACGTCGCTCGTACGTCCATGATCCATGCGGCTGCCCCCCATTTTCTGTGGCCGTTTAAGGTTCAGTACGCGGCGCATCAGCTCAACCTTCAGCCCCGGTTCTCCTTGCCAGAGACCTCCCCCACCTTGCGGTGGACGGGGAAGGTTGGCGATACGTCTGCGTTTCGGGTATGGGGATCTCGGGCCTTTGTCCACGACTTGTCTGCGGACAAGCTGTCCCCCCGTGCTATTCCCTGCGTCTTCCTCGGCTTCCCCCCTGACGCGCCTGGGTGGCAGTTTTACCACCCCACGTCGCGCCGTGTTTTGTCCTCCCTGGACGTCACCTTTGACGAGTTGATGAGGTTCCTCCACCTGGGGCGAACATCGTCACTGGCATGTGGATTTTTAGGGTGAAGCGGCCTCCGGGTTCTCCGCCTGTCTTCAAGGCGCGTTACGTGGCTCGAGGCTTCAATCAGCGGCACGGAGTTGACTACTTCCAGACCTTCTCTCCCACCCCGAAGATGACCACTCTTCATGTGCTGCTGCACATAGCCGCTCAGCGCGACTACGAGCTTCACTCTCTTGACTTCAGCACAGCTTTCCTGCAGGGCAGCCTGCACGAGGAGATCTGGCTGCGCCGCCCACCTGGCTTCACTGGGTCGTTTCCTCCTAGTACCCAGTGGACCCTCAGGCGGCCAGTCAACGGTCTCCCCCAGGCGCCCCGTGAGTGGCACGACACACTGAGGACTACACTTGCGGCTCTTGGGTTTGCTCCTTCTACAGCCGACCCGTCGCTGTTTCTGCGCACCGACACCTCTTTGCCGCCGTTCTACATCCTCGTGTACGTCGACGACTTGGTCTTTGCCACTGCTGACACTGCTGGACTCGCCCACGTGAAGTCCGAGCTGCAGAAGAGACACACGTGCACAGACCTGGGTGAACTGCGCAGCTACCTTGGCTTGCAGATCAGCCGGGACAGAGCACAGCGCACCATTACCCTGACTCAGTCACACATGGTGCAGCAGGTCCTTCAGCGCTTGGGCTTCACGTACTCCTCGTCTCAGGCCACTCCTCTGTCTACTCGCCACTCGCTCTCAGCTCTGCCTTCGGATGAGTCCGTAGAGCCGAGTGGCCCGTACCCAGAGCTTGTTGGCTGCCTCATGTACCTGATGACATGTACACGACCTGACCTTGCATACCCTCTTAGCATCTTGGCACGCTACGTTGCTCCTGGGAGACACCGACCAGAGCACATGGGTGCAACGAAGAGGGTGTTGCGCTACGTGTGCAGTACGTCGGGCATGGGGCTAGTGCTTGGAGGGCGACATCGAGTGGTCCTCAGAGGTCACGTAGACGCTTCTTGGGCTGACGACCAGCCGACACAGCGGTCGTCACAGGGTTACACCTTCAGCCTTGGCTCCGGCTCTGTTCCGTGGCGGTCTACCCGCTCGTCTTCTGTTCTCACCTCCAGCTGTGAGGCTGAGATCTACGCAGGGGCCATGGCTGCACAGGAGCTACGCTGGCTCACCTACCTGCTGACTGACCTAGGAGGGCCGCCTCGTTCTCCTCTAGTTCTGTACGTAGACAACAAGACCATGCTGGCCTTGTGTCGGGAGCACAGACTGGAGCACAGAACGAAGCACATTGCTCTTCGCTACTTCCTGGCTTGTGAGCTGCAGCAACATGGTCAGCTCCGCCTCACCTACGTGGCCTCTGAGGCCAACACTGCTGA